AGTTTTTCCATTTCAACGAGTGAACTTCGAGAATCAATTTCTCATTCACCCGTTATCCATTTTGAGTGTACCACATATCGAATTGTAGTCCTTAACAAGGACAATCCGAAACCACTTTGACCCGACCCAAATCGGAAGTGGACCCGACTCAAATAATTGCCCCAAAATGACCATTTAATGCAATTTTTAACACATTTTTCCAACAGTCAGCGAAGGTGGAGGCGGATGAGGCATCATCAGTAAAGGCAATGATGTGGTCGAGGACCTGGTAAGCTCGGGCCGTGATCTTGAACCTCTGCCCATGAAGAGTAATCACAATTATCAAGGTCGAGTGTGATAGGAATATAGTTTTTGATGTTGGATATGGCTAAGGCCTGATGAAAGGAGGATTTGGAAGAAGACATGAAGGAAGAGGGAGGGATAAAACGGGGCGTCTGATACCAAGTTAAAGATTAAGAAATTCACCGTAATCATCATCCTCTTTATTCAATGATATAAATAGGAGGATACAATACATGAAGTTACATGGTATGCGGTATCTACAATTCAATCCGCACGTATTGTTGAGAAGCTAAGGTTACAAGAGTCTTATAGGCTATAAACACGGATGACACGAAATATCCTAACTGCCTGCAAATTAATCGTAAGAAGATAATATTGTACGTAGTTTAATAATTAATTTAACTATATTAATTTGACCGCATGCGTAGAACGTATGCCATGCATACGCATGCATGCCATGCATGCCATGACTTATCATATAGAAAACATTAAAAAATGTCCAAAGTGGCAGACGAGTCGTCTGGGCCTTCTACACGCACGACCAAAAAAAACATGGGCTGGGCGCCTGGGCCGTGTCTTCCGTTAAAGACAAAAAAACGCGGAAAATAAAAATCCACCGGGATTCGAACATAGAACCTCCCATAACATATATACTTTGCATCCACGCTTACTCCCGTTCCGTTACTCCGTTCTTGTTGTTGTAAAGTCGCTTTGTGTGTAAATATACATTGAATAATTAATTTAAAATATATATATATATATATATATATATATATATATATATATAATATAGGTTTTTTTTCGAGGTGCACGGGGTCCCGGGACCCCTTGGGACCCTTAGTGGGTCCACCACTGCAGACGACATATGCATTTAATCTGGAAACACAGTTGTTTGCATGTTCAACCGCTCAATTGAGTGCTTTTTGAAGTTTTAGGATTCAATCTTGCTAGGGAAGATGTTCTGGGTTTGATGATATCTGGGATCTTCATCCCGTGATTGTATTGTTCATGTGTTGAGATTTGATGAGAAATAAAGTTATTTATTTTCCAAAAACAAATACTAATGACTTATTTGATATTTTTCCTTGACTAAAAATAAGATGTATAAATGGGATTTAAACAAACCATACCGCTAAATTTCTAGACATCTCTCTCATTTCTCCCCGCATCTGCTATTCTAGCCTCTTCCAAACAACGACAATTTATACTGTACACCCACGTGTACATATACACACGGTATGTTTGTAATTTTTTGCTGTAATCACTTGCGGCTGTAGTCTTCCCTGCGTAAGTGGAACTTCGTATTTAGCTGGAACTTCGTCCTAAGTGGACCGTGTAATTGCACTACGTCTCTTTTCTTTTGCTTTTTACATAGATTTGTTTTTATTTCTTTTTCCTTTTTTCTTAACCACCTTATTCATTGATTTCAAATTTTCAATTTCTGATGAATATTTAAAGTATTAATTTTTTATTTTTCTATTTTTAATCCAAGATAAATATTTATTAGTTTATTAAATATTACTCCCTCCGTCCCCCTGTTATTGTCTCATTTCCTATTCACTTGGTCAACACAAATCACTCTTAATCTCTTACTTTATTTATCAAATTTTTATCAAATTTGATTTCGCTTTTTGCGACTTTGTAAAACTTTTAATGTAGTTTCTGAATATGTATTTTTTTTTCCTAAAAATAATTCTAGTGCGGACAGGGATCTGTTTGCTTTATCGTCAGTCAAGCATCGTAAACCGTAATGAGACAATAACAGGGGGACGGAGGTAGTATGTGCTAATTACTAAGATGAGTTTTGTACTATACTAAAATGATATGGTGTAAAATAAATATGAAATTGTTTTTAATATAAAATTGTTATTCCAGAACGAAAGACTATAAATTATTTTTAATACTCCCTCCGTCCCGAAATTATCTTCTTACTTTCATTTTCAGCTCGTCCTGAATTTATCTCTTCTTTCCCTTTTTGGCAAAGAATTTGTGGTTCACAACCATTCTTACACATTCTTACACATTTCTATTTCCTCTGTACAACTCTCCACCCCACATGTCCCACTATCTTAAAACCTCTGCCCAGTCAAATAAGGAGATAATTCCAGGACGGAGGTAGTATAAATTGTTATATTTGTCATTGTGATACACGTGCACAAATGAACATTTTAAACACATTAGAGAACTCAAACGATCTTTTGAATTTTTTATGCTCATTTTGTAAGTCATGTACGTTCATCTCGTACATGTTTTATGTTCATTTTAAAATGTCATATTAATGCATATTCCAAAAGTATCATTTTAGATTCACATGGGGGCATATATCATGATACTAAATTGCATGCTTCTAGTTCTCAATAGAAGATGTTTGATGTTCAATGAAAACGTTTTGATGCTCAACTTTTTTTTACTTCAGGGGGGTCGGGGGAGAGGGGCTGGAGTAATCAGGGTTGAAACTCACTCCATTGAGTTTCAAACCCTTGTGTGCCTAGCGGGTTTCGAACTCGAGACCTCCCATTAAGCATGGTAACCTCACAATCAGCTGGTCTAGAATGCTTGGTTCTTGATGCTCAACTAACAAAGTATGATTTTCATATTATTGCTCATTTGGTATTTATGTATGCTCATTTGATACTGGTTTTATGCTCATTTTAAAATGATATATCAATGCACACCACAAAAGTATTATACGTAGTAGTACATAAGATGTATGTTGAAGTTGATTATAGATACTAGATCGAGCACAGACCACGATACTTGATTGCATGTTTCTAATATTCAATAGAAGAGATTCGATGCTCAATTAAAAACTTATGATTTTCATATCAATGCTCATTTTGTAATTTATATGTGCTCAATTTATACTCATTCATGCTCAGTTTTAAAATGTCATATTAATGCATATTTCAAAAGTACCATATTACATTTTATTCACATATTGAAGTTTCATAGGAGTTGACGATAGATATAGTTTAATATTTTTTTGGAAAATAAAAAATAAGAAAAAGAAAGTGAATTATATATAAGATATGAAGCAGAGATCACGATACTCGATATGAGACTGCTAATACTCAACAAGATTGGTCGGGTGCTCAGTAAAAGTTCATTAATGCTCATTTAACAGAAATGCGCATTGATATGAAAATCGTAAGATTTGTTAGTTGTTTTTCACGACATTGTCATTGAGCAACAAACCTCCGCTATTGACATGAAAATCAGGGATTCAGTGAATGAGCATTAATGAACTTTTAATGAGCATCAGACCTATTATGTTGAGTATTAGGAGTCTATTATTCAGAATCGTAATCTCTACTTCGTAACTTCTATTGAGATGAAAATCATGGTTTCTGACAAATGAGCAATAATGAACTTTTACTGAGTGTTACACTTATTCCGTTCAGTATTAAAAGTCTAATATTGATCATCTTGATACTTTTGAAACATGAATTTTTTATATGACATTTTAAAATTAGCATAATATCAATACCAAATGAACATACATAACTTACAAAGTGAGTATCAAAAAATTAAAAAAAAACGTAATTTGGAAATCGCTAGTGTGTTCAAATGCTCATCTGTATATGTTCATTTTGTTTAAGCGTTATTCTCATTTAGTATGTGAGAGCGAAGTCGTAATGGTTGGATTGATCTACCAGATCAATATCACCAGAATCTAGTCTATACAGAGCATTAACGTTGTCATCTAGAATCTAGTTTTAAAATGAGTACTACAACAATATAAAATGAGACTACATAGTTACGAAATGAACATAAAAAAATTCGAAAAACTCATTTAAAATCTCTAGTATGCTCAAATATTAAATGAGAATATATAATTTATGAAATGAACATTACATCAATATGCATTGATATCGTTCTTTATTTTAGAAAAACCAATTTTATTGTGCTTATTTTTTAAATTATATCAATGCATATTTGATTTAAATAAATATACTCATTTTTTATTTACAAAGTTAGAGCTTTTAATAGAAGAGTGAGAGAAGTACATGTTTTATTGAGGGGGTGTTTGGAACTGATTCTGCTTCTGCTTCTTTTTTTAAAGCATAAGCAGAATCAGAATCAGTTTTCAGAAGCTGCTACCCCCCCCCCCCCCCAGCTTCTAAAAAAACTGATTCTAGGAGTAAATTAGAGCACCAGAATCACTTCTGCATTTTCACCCAAACACTCCAACTGCTGCTTCTGCTCTCTGAAGGAGCAGAAGCAGTTTTAAGAATTAGATCCAAACACCCTCTTAATTGCATGAAAGAAATCTTGTAGAAAATTGACATGAAAATAAAAAGGTTGCAGGAAGTCAAAATATAAAATAAGTGGGAAGAATTGAAGAAGCAAACATCACCACCAAAATTGATTTGCCATTTGAAGTTTACTCGCAGCTTGCATTGCTTAGGTCAGTTAGGTGGGCCGGTCATTTAGCTAGAAGTTCAAAAGCAATGGATAAACAACAAAATAAGCAATGAATCAAAATAATCAAAGTTGAACGAAATTACAAAAATGACGGGTGTATAGGTACACCCGAATGTATGATATAGGAGCTGCCAAACAACACCATTTGCTGGCAATGGGAAAGTTTTGGACAAAAGGCGTTGAACAAATGAATCGAAAAATTTAAAAGCAATCATATTTCTGTCATTAGCTTTTGTTTTAGTACTATTCAAGTCAAAGCCCAGGTTTCATTTAATTTAATGATAATGGTACTTCATTCATTCCGAAACGGCATCAATCACATTAAATTTGTACACTTTAGGAAGACATTCACAGTTATTTCACACACATGTGGAACATATTATTGGGATTATTGAAAAATTTACATGAGATCGTCATCTAATCCATTAAATGTGTGTCACATAAGAATGTGTAAAAGTATAAATTTAATGTCCAGATAACATTATTCTTATAGTTTTGTATTTGATGTCCACAAGTTCTTGCTTCTGCTGTTTGGGCAAACACTACATTTACACCGTCTATACGCATGACTGGTGCCTTAGGCACATGAAGCTTCAACGGCTAAACTCTTAGTAACTCCAGCACACGGGTTTCCAAATATACTCCTCGAGACTGCAAGGGTGCAAGTTCGTGATCCAATGCAAGCCTGCAATCATTTGTGTAAGAAGTGTTAGGTTTGAAATGGTATAGAGACATAGTCCCACATTAGAATGAGGCGTATTACCAATGTGTTTATAAGGTGACTTAAACTAGTGAATCAAATCAATTCAATATTTCAATCTTTTAATGTTGTTTGGTCATATATGCAGTTATGCACTACGGCCCTACGGCCCTGTTGGAGAACACTAACCTTATTCTTAATTGTTTACAAAATATAGAGCAATGTGAAATAGAAAAGGATCTAACCTTTTGTACAATTGAAAGAGCATCGGTGCTACTGCAATCACCATGGCTAAAACTCCCACAAGTCCCTTGAGGAGTGCCAAAGCTTGCAAATTTTATTGAAGAAATCACATGGTTAGAGAGAGGACACTCAAGTGACAGTTTGGCCCCTGCTTGCTTTAGCCCCCCTTCTTCCCACATGTCAACCGCGAGAGGGATCGACTCTGAAATAACAGAACATAGATTCCCGACCTCTCTTGTTACAAAAGATATCTTTGTGGGGTCACCACCCTCTTCCTCAAATAACACGATTATATTCCCACTTGGTTTCAACCACGAACGCGGGACATGGTAACTGCATGGTTTATACAAGTCCAACTCAAGTACGAAAAATAGTCCATAATGATGTTCTTTTGTCATTTCACACTAACCAAATATATAGATACAAACTAACATATAAGGATTCGAAGCGATGAACTTCTTAATCTTATAAATTATCTGAAAAGTTAAAAGGGGGGAGTACATACTAGATTTGAGAGGGTTTTCCACAGTTTTTGAGGCATTTGGTAGAAGTATAGGGTCCTCTGTAGTCACAAGGGTCTGTGCAACCACCACTTGGAGCAGTATTTGTTGGCCAATATCGCCCAATGCTTTGTCCGTTCACCCATGCCTCTCCCTTCCCCATCCCTGTGAAATCTATAGCAAGCGGATCATCCCCAACAGGGGGATCAAAGGTGGCCTGGGAAAACAAGAAATGCTGGTTAGAATAGTTTTTTTTTTGTGCAATTATCATTTTCGCCATTATGTATTTGGTTGTGCCAATCTAGTCCCCAATCACAAACAGCATGGGGGCATAGTTACCTTGTACCATATTAATGGTTGGTTTTTGGGCAAAGTAGACCTTGTCACCCAAACCGGAGAATCTCCATTGAATAGCGTCAACTCTTCCCCCTTCAAACCAACCTGCACATTCATTAGTGTTAAAAAGGCGATATATGCTATCAAATACTCCCTCCGTCCCACTAACAATGGGACAAGAGGGAGTGGCACGCAAATCAATAAAAAGTGGTTTATGTGGTTGATATTGAATTGATAAAGTAAGAATAAAGTAAGAATGATTTAGAGCCACACAAACTTTGTCAAATTTGGTATGAGATGATCTTAGTGGGACGGACTGATAAGGTAAAACGGGACAAGCATAGCGGGATGGAGGTAGTATTTTTTTAAAGTTTCTGAAGAAAAGAGTCAAAAGACTAACCTGATATGTCCACAGTTGCGAGGAAAGATCAATACTCATTCCACTTTTAGAATCATTGAGCTGCACTGGACTAGTAATTCCTGCTCCCTTTAAATCAAAGTGTCCTCCATAATTCTGGAGTATCAATTCCAAATTAGAACAAATATTAAATAACATCTTCCTGCATACATAAAATGAAAAATAAAGCAAGCAATCCCTAACCTGAAGTCCAACCGTCAAACTCAAGAGATCAATGTTATTTTTTCCCAATACAAGGTTCACAGGGACATCTATGGTAACTTTAGCATTGTTACTGCTTCCCTTTCCACTGCCTGGCAAAACAATCAACTTACTTTTAAATATCATATATTCATATGTTTAAGCAAATACTTTTGTGATTAGTCATGTCATATTAATTGACACCTAATTTTGAACAAATTATAGACATAGTCTACACTCTACATCCCTTACCCCACCGTAGGTGGGAGCCTTTGCGGCACTGGGGTAATGATGATGATAGACATAGTCTACATGAATTGAGATTTCATCCTAAACAAACCTAATATGAAGACTTGTCCAATTTGTACTACCTCCGTTCCATTTAAAGGTTCCCGGCCACTATTCTCCGGTCAACGTGAATTGTTCTTAATCTTTTACTTTATATATCCAACTTTTATCAAATTTATTTTTTCTTGATCAGGTATTATAAAATTTTTAATGTAGTTTCTGAATATATAAATTTTATTTACTAAAAATAATCTTATTAATGACGGTGATCAGTTAACTTGATGGTCAGTCAAACATCATAAATCGCGTGGGAACCTTTGAGTGGGACACAGAGAGAGTATTATGTATTTTTCTGATATGGGATGACTTAACTGTAATATGCAAATGCATATTGAATCATCTTTGTCAACTAATATCTTCCTAAAATAGCTTTTGGCACTTTCAAAATGCTTTGGTGTTCAACAAGAAAAATACAATGGCCTAAAGTTAGTATTTTGCTCGACTTCTTCTTTTGCTCGATTTTTATTGATAGAAAAACTTTTTCTTGTAACATCGCTTATGTTGAATCACCTGCAAGCTTTCCATTAATGAAAACATGGAGGGCATGTCCAAGTGATTGCACATGGAGAAGTGTTTGCGCTCCATCTTTGAGGAAAGGCTGGTCAGCTTTCATTTCAGTGCTGAAAATGTAAGAAGTGGAAATAAAACAACAAAGAGAGTAGAAAATAATGATGGAAGCTTTGGGCTTAAATAGATATTTTTTTGTATTTACCTAGTAGAATACCAGAGGTAATCACTCTGATCAGCTGTGGTGCTTATTTGTTCTAGTAACCCGTTCTTTGTGAAGGCTCTACTACTCGAAATTCCCACAGACTCATTTAGCCAATTCCAACTCGTTGCTGATGCAACATAAGCCTTGTTGCCAAATCTTGGGATGTTTGAACGGATGTTAATCTGTCGTCACAAATGAGAGAATTAAAAAGTGCAGCAGATAATGCATGTAAGTCAACCCACACTGAATCCAATTGATTAGCTTGTCTAGCTCAAACCCATATAAACTCATATTCTTCTCTTCATTATTTTGATATGTGACTCCTAGTCGTGTGCAACACGAAATGCTAAAGTGTCCCACATCAGATCTACAATACCTGTTTCTAATATATAAGTACTACCTCCGTCCCGTTGGAAGGTTCCCATAGCAAAACGGCACGGTTATTTAGGCAATAATTAAATAAACTACTTCGAGTATATTTTGAGAAATAATTTTCATAGGTATATATTATAATGTAGTTAGTATTGATAACTGTGATGTTATAAATGTATTATTTTTAATATTTAATGATTAATTTGTCACTTAAGATTGTTAATTGTTTCCTAAAATGGAGATGAGAACATTCTAACAGGACGTCCAAAAAAAGAAAGTGGGAACCTTCTAATGGGACGGAGGGAGTATAAGATAAGCCACACCTCTTGAGAATCTTTTCAAGACCAGTTAGACCTAATTAATATTGTGGTATGAGAGCCTTGTTCGATTGTGATTTGTTTTTTTCTTTGGCCAATTCTAATAGAAAAAAATGGTTTAAGCAACTGATAGACTAAAAAAGGAAAAGATTACAACACAAACCTCTGCTGTATTAAATGCCACATGCGTGCAGTCATGTAGGATGCTTACAGACCATGCTGGCAAATGGTAAGAATGTTGATTGAAAGTCACTGAAGCATTGGATTTGGTATCAAGATTAGCTAAGAAGGCAGAGCACAGTCCCGATTCGGTTTTGAAAACACTGGCCTGACCAACAGAAATAACTTTTCATCAAAGGGACATTCAGTTTTGTGTAACTCCGCATTATACGTGCATTTGATTATATTCCACTACATATTGTGTCTTGCCAAACTACACCTAAGAAGCACTTGGGTTCAACTTTCAAAGCAGCAATTGTACCTCCAAATTCGGGCCAAGGGAAGTGATGTTGGGATCAGTTGCCAGCATAGCCTTTTCACAAAGCTTTATAGCAATATGCAGATCTCTCAGGTGACCCCACTTTGGTTGACTTATTTGCCCTACAATACACATAGATTCCTTTAAATAAAAGTCGCATAAACGAAATTATTCACACACAATAGTTTTAGGTATGAAGATTACCATACTCATCTAGTGGAGCATCATAATCATAGCTTGTTGAAATAAAGGGCCCACCAGAGGATCGGCCAAAGTTGGTTCCTCCATGGTACTGTGTAAACAAGAACACTATAGGATCAGCAAGATTCATGTTGTCTTTTCGCAGAGTTGGAATTTGTAAGGAAAAAAAGTATGAATATACCATATAATAGTTCTGGAAGGTTCCACCCCGTTGGAAAAACCTAGCCACGGAAAAAGCAATGTCTTCCACAGGTCTGTATGGCAAAGGGCCACCAAATGAAAGATACCTGACCACTCAAAAGTTAATCATTTCAGGTCAACAAAGAGAGTGACCCATCCAGATTTCCTTGAACTGATAATTCAATTTCTGAGATTAAGATTTGGAATTCCATTCTAAAAGTTTAAAAATTATAATAGGGATAGCCCAACCCTTCCTTATTTACCACTATGCAAAAGAGAAAAACCAAAGTCTTACCATCCAGTCCAATTCTCTGTCCACATTTTGGGCTTCTTATTAGAGTTGGGGGTGAATTGGTCACAGTAGAACCCATTGCAAGTGTTTATCTGTCAATTCAGCTCAGTTTCTAGGCTTATAAAAATCTTTTGAGAGAATAAATAAATGAATTAGAAAAATCATATATGAATTAGCTAGCTCACAATAGGATCAGGAGCATCTGCTTGCTGGCACATAACCCATGGTACCCCGGTATTCAAAGAGGTTGCCATTGCGGCTGCCCATTGGACATATGGTTTAGCACGAGGTCCATAGTCAGATTGAATATTACCATACTCATTTTCAATCTACACACATAGTAATTAATAAATGCTGATTTCATTTTGCTTCTTTACTTAACGAAATCAATACCTACACGCAAAAAGCTGCCAGTACCTGAGATAATATGATGGGGCCTCCTTGGGTTGCATAGAGATTTTCTTGTTTCATCAAGTCAACAATCTTTGTCGTAAACCGCTGCATTTCAGCCTGCAAAGTAAAGTCTCACATTTAAAGATGATGATATGCAGTGATTAGCTAACTGTTAAATACAACTATAAAAAAGTGATTGCGCAAATATTTAAATGAAGAGCTTGGCCAGATATTAAAAAGAAGTGGTTGGCCAAATATTGGAAATCTGTAACAGGAAAAAATAGTAGAAACCTTGAATACGTCATTGTTGGATCGAAGTTCGATGCCGGGCATAAAATGCAACCAGAGAGGAAATCCACTGTTTCAGGAAAGAAGAAAAAAATCCTTACTTTAGTTAAGAAAACTAAACTACGCAATATGAAAAGCAGAAGCGACTCTATAGGAAAAAGAATGGATTACCCATAGTTCCATTCAGCGCAGACGTAAGGCCCAATCCTTAGATGAACAAATAAACCAGCTTGTCCGACCAATTTCACAAAGTTTACAATATCTTTCCTACCTGCGAAATCATACTGCAGAATTTCCCTTGCATGTTAGCACCCTTTTAATTATTTTCCATTTTCTTTCTGTTACTTACATAAGAAAGGAATCTTCATTAAACTTTAACAATGTAATTTAAGCCTTTGACCAACTCTTATGCTAAACTTTAAAAATATACACAAGCAGAGAAGCTTAATCCATCACTACGGAATTAGATTCTTGACACAACCCATAAAAGGTACTAAAAAGTCAATCTTTCAAAGTAATTTTTTAAACTGGCAATAGTAAGAGCCACAGCTCAAGAAAACCGATAATAGTTCAAGAAAAACAACAAAAATGCAAGAAAAAAGATCAAGATAGCAGCACCTGATTTCTGACTGGTTCGTGCAAGTCCCAGAAAACATAAGTCTCGATGACATCCAAACCTCCATCTTTCGACTTTTGGATCAAGTCTGGCCACATCTGTATTCAATATCCACAAGAATGAGAACATAAATTGAAAAAAAAGACTATAATTGCGGCAGTAGAGATAGAAAGAGAGAGAGAGTGAGAAACAGAATGAGGAGTAGGTGCTGGCCTCAGGAGTGCTCCTAGGATAGTGAATGGAGCCGGAGATCAAAAGCTTCCGTTGGCCGTCAATGACCAATGCACGGTGATCATATGTCACATTGGCCGCAGACGCCGTCGTCGGCGCCGCCAAGAACTGTAACAGAGCCACCGCAATCACCACCGACACACCTCCCCTCATGTTTATCCTCCTCAAAGACCCAATTTTTATTTCTTCCCAGGTCAACAAAAGCTTCTGATATTGCAAACATATGATGAGCCACCCACAATTTGCCTTTGGGAAATGAAATGTAAAAGTGGGTGTAAGCTTCAATTAGCACTTATGGGTTTTATGAGGTTGCTTGGAATGATAGCTTAAATTGGTTCTATGAGCTGAGAATGTCTTATGTTCACACAGATTGGGTATAATAGATAATTTAGATAAACAAACTTATACGTACTACCAAAAATGTCTACAATCTCTATCGTGATAAGCTACACGACGACGTCGGTTAGTCGCAGTTTTCTTCGAAGCAGTATTACCTAGGCTGCTAGACTGCTACGTACTCATATTACTGCTAATATATTATTACTCCCTATTAACTTACCTTTAACCTCAGCACCGGCCATATTTTCTCTGTCTTAAGTTCTCAACTATACACATCCCGACTAAGGAGGCCAACATTAATTCGGAAACAAATGGTATTATGTTTGTTCCTATTTAATGTTCTCATTTTCTTTTTTTAAGGTCAATTGAAAATAGTTTTTTCCTTATTTGATAAACAAAACAATACAAAACAGTGTCAAACAATGTCATTTTTTTAATATATATGCAATTTGAAGTGCAATTTACATAAAAAATACAATAAAAACAAACTCATTAATTTGAAGCTATATCCCTAAAAAGTAGCAAGTTGTAGAAGTAGTCTATTTCTTTCGAAATAACTTTCAAAGAATAATTTCTTTTCTTTCAAGGTAAGTGTTATAATAAAATTTTCACGCAATTTAGGATATATTTGTAATTGTAGTGTACATTTAATAAAAAAAATCGAGGACTTTAATTGGGTACCGTACACTCATAGGCTCTATACTTTAATGATGTATAATGTACTTATTATGGTGTAGATTCTTTTCCAGAAAAAAAATGTGACAATTAATTTGAAATGATCTCAAAAAGTATGGCATATCTATTTTCAAAAGGATCATGTATGACTAATTTATTAGTTACGAGTATTTTCTCCGTACACCTATTATGTTGTCTTGCTGTTTATTGCTAAATGTTTACAAAGTTGAGTTATTATTTAAATCCTTAACTAAGCTAATGCTACAACAAAATTGGATAATTATTACTTTGTAAGTGTGTGCACATGTTAACTAAATTATAAGTTCATATTAATATATCATGATGTTTTATAATATTTCATAATTTTCAGAGTTTAGTTGTATCACATATGTTTTATTTAAAGTATACTAATTTGATTTTCACTGGTATTAAAATATTTTTATGACCTTATATTTTTTTTTTCTCATTCACATCAATATCCAAATGTGCTACTGACTTACAGTATAACATGTGTACCTGTTATATGTAGGATTAGAATGTGAGATGGCGGAAATTGAATACAAATATTTGAGAAAAAGTCTTCACTTCAAGGGACGATCCATTATTGACCTTAAGAGAAAGATAGAATCGCATGTCCGGACTCAGAAAGTTTTTTCAAGGAGGGGCGTTATGGCATGGATAGGAAAGGATTGGGTAAAGTATGTCATTGGTCTATCTTTTTTAGTCGTGCATATTATTATTTGTAACTAATCAATGTCGAATTCAAGCAATATATATCTATGAATTATATATGAGTGTAGTTTTAAACTTATTAAGACAATTCTAAATAGTAATATTACAATTTCATCATCAATACAACTTTATTTAATAACTTGATTTTACATATTGAACTTTTCATAATATTACATTACAAAAAATCGAGTCTGACACTGTTTATCCCGAATTGACACATTTTTTGTCAAGACTCTATTTCAATATTTTCATGTCAAACCGCTTTTGCACAAATTTTAACACAAATTTGACACGAATCTGCTAATCTATGCAAATTCTTGACAAAATTAATTTCGATTAGCTCGAAAAGTAATGAATGTAACTTCTGTATGGATTCTTACTCATGATAAAAGTTTTCAATCCATAAAGGTCATCCCATATATTAGAAGTTGTGTCATATATTTAACCTCTAACGAAGATAATCCATATTTAGTAAAAAAAATCAATGTCAGTTTTCAAAAAATGTAGTGACAATGTTAATAACATGTCTAACCGCAAGTCGCAAGAAATCATTTTATCACAACTCCATGATCTTTTACATATCTCATCATTACAATAATTATGATATGTCCTTGGTCATAATTGTCTCTTTATCTAATACTACCTCCGTCCCCCTATTATTGTCTCATTGCGGTTTACGATGCTTGATCGACGATAAAGCAAATGGATCCCTGTCCACACTCAAATTATTTTTAGAAAAAAATACATATTCAGAAACTATATTAAAAGCTTTACAAAGTCGCAAAAACCAGAATCAAATTTGATAAAAATTTGATATATAAAGTAAGAAATTAAAAGTGATTTGTGTTGACCAAGTGAGTAGGACCTGGGATAATAATAATAATAGGGGGATGGAGGGAGTAGTTATTTTTTTATCTGGATATGGAGACTTTATAATAACTACTTATACTAAATTTGGTTGGAAAGTGGTCGCCCTCTTAAGTCCTCAAATGGATAGAGAAATGGATTTCATGTAAATCATCCATTTATGATTTAATTGAAACTTATTTTTATTGCATGTCAACTTTGGCATATGTATAAAATGTTGTGTTGTCTTGTGAAAAATCATTGGCTCAATGATTGAGAAAAGAGATTACACTACAGAAAAAAATTACGGGATTGACACGAAATATGGCACGGACTTACCGATTTTTTGTGCCACATAGGTCGTGCCAAAGTGTTTTTGTCACGGATTTGGCATTTCCCTGCCAAAATTTCTGTCAATCCCGTGATTTTTTTGTAGTGTTATTAGACATAACATATCAATTTAAAAAAGGATGACAAATGAAGTTTATTAAAGTATATTATAGAAGGGTCATGCTTGGTGTACACAAGATGTACACCAAATGTGTACATTGCATGTGTACACAGGCACTTGAGTATCAAATTCTGCCCTCTTCTAAATGAATTGTTTGTGTACACAGGTAACTAGGGGGGTTTTGTGTACAGTTTGTGTACAACTCATGTACACTAAGGATTTTCCATTATAGAAAGTATGCTATTAGGGATATAGGTTGAGAATATAAAAGTAGGTTTGAAGAGAGTGGAAGGAAAGATACAAAAAACAAAAGGAAAAGAGAGAGAATGATTGAGTGGAGTTGGTTGGTAGACCATCTTTATGTTGTGATACTGTGGATGATGAGGACATTTTATCACAACTCCATGATCTTTTTTGGGGGGTTGGGGGATGCTGTTATGGGTGGGGGCTACTGTGGGGGGTGGGGAATGCTGGCTGGTGACGTAGGGAGGAGCTGGGGTCTGGTGGTCGGAGGTGGTGGTCAGAGGCGGTGGCCGTAGGTGGTGGTCGCTGGCGGTGGCGGAGGTGGTGGTCGCTGGTGCCGCTAGGCGACTGTCACAGCTGAGCTGGCTGGGTGACGCAGGGGAGGGCTGGGTTGGGGTTGGTGTAGGAGAGGGCAGGATTGGCGGCAGGCGACGGTGGGAGGTGGGGGTTTCCGGCGTGGACGGCGGTGATGGAGTTGGGCGGACACTCAATGAGGTCGGCGGACGGGCAGTCATTGTGGTAGGTGGGCGGGCAATCACTATGACTGGTGTGCGGGAAGTCACTGTGACCGGAGTCACTATGGACGGTGGGGCAGTCAATGTGGCCAGTGGGGTAGTCACTGTGGCCGGTGGGGTCATTTTGGCCGGAGTCACTTTGACAAAAGTCACTTAGGTCGGAGTCACTTTGGCGGCGCCGGCAGTGGTTGTCGTGTCGGCGCCGCCGCCGGCAGTAGCAGTGGTGCTGGCGGTGCTGCGGTCGGCGGTCATAGGACTACTAATAAAATATATAAAATGTATATTAAATACAAGGAATATGACTTCTAGTCATATTTATGGAAGAATTTAAAACATGTCACAAATTTGTCTTTTTCATTCATTTTAGTAATATTGGAATAAAAAAGGCCCTAAAACTATGGCAAAAACTCAAAATATGACTTACTATGTTTTTCTTTTCAAAATAGGACCAAATTAGTTCTATTGGAAACATACCTATTTTTTCATTCCATTCTTACCCTTCCTTTAAATATGATTTAATTAAATATTTAATTCATAATATATTCAAAAAAAGTTCAAAATTTTGTAGAAAAATAATTAAAAAATTTATAAAAAATTTATAAAATAAAAAAATTAATTTTTTTAGAAAATTAATAAAAAATAATAAAACTCCATTAAAAAATTAAAAAACATATGGATGCCTTTCCCAGCGCCTGTACTATCTCCCTGCACCACCATCTCCGGCCGGTGGAAAAACTGTCATTTTTCCTAAAAACTGTCATTTTTTCTGAAAATGCCAAAAACATGACATATTTCTCTTTGAAAATGCCAACATTTTCATCGTTTTCTGCCATAAATATGGCATTCGTAATGAACTTGGCATATTTTTCCCAGATGACCGGAGGTGGTGGTGCAGAGGCGGCGGTGAATTTTATTTTATTATTGTGAGTTTTTTTGTTTTTTTAAAACAATTTTTTTTAATTTTTTGAAAATAAATAAATAAATTATTATTATCGAAATATTTTTATTAATTTTTTAGTAATTTTTACGATTTTTATTATTTTTTATTATTTTATTATGAATGAAAACATTTCAATAGCTATAGGGGTATATTTGTCCAAGACACACATAATTAGTTCTACGAAAATATAGTTTTTTGTCGTATTTGTGCAACGTGAGTGACTTGTAGTCCTATTTTGATAATTAACCCTTGACAATTATTCTAAAAATGTAAGAGTTGTGATGGAGTATATGGGTCTGAGCCCCCGGACCCACATACTCGGAAGAATAGAAAGCACAAGACAGAGTGGCGCCCTCGTCGGCCAAGACGCCCCCGTCGGCCGAAAAGGGGCCAACTCAGATTATGGTCCTGAGCCCAAGGAACCCGGGTGCCCTCGTCGGCCGCGCCCTCGTCGGCCACGCCCTCGTCGGCCACGAAGACCTCCCAGAACCGGATTTTACACTTACTCATTTGTACAACCCATTAGTGGCTTTGTATTCGGCCCAGTAGCGGTCCAGTTGTAAATGGGCCTCCCAAGCCCAAGGCTTGGGAGCCCAGCCCGTATTTTCTCTATAAATACTCCCCTTGGGAGTAGTTATAGGGGTTACAAAATCATTCTATT